GATAATATGAAAGGAACTTACTTAATTTGTTTCGCTTCATCGTTATTTTAGATGGATGCTCATATTCGAGTAAATGCTCTGTTTATTTAATTACAATTACCGGCCTGAACATTCGAGAAATCTTGTCAGAGAATATGCGTTCTCTGACAGGATTCGAACCTTCGTCCCCTATGGATAACCGTCATTAGATGTGACCTGCTTAACTGTTCGGCTACATAATTCTCTCGGTTAAACTTTCGGGCTTTGTACAACCAGAAGTACTGCGTGGCCGAACGGTTAAGCACGTCAGATTTACTGATGGTTACCCACAGTGCATCGAAACTGCATCGAAACTCTTTTCCTATGGGGGATGCAGTTTCGAATCCTGTCGGAGGGCGTATATTTTCTGACAAGGTTTCTCGAATATTCAGGCCGGTAAATAAAATTAAATAAAAATACTGTTTAATTAAATAAGCGGAGCAGTTACTTGAATGTGAGCATCCATCTGAAATAACAACAAGTAAAACAAATTAAAATATGTCGGATTTAATCTATTTCATATATACCAAGTATAACAGCAAAATTGTCCAAATCGTGTAACAGAAAAATTATAAAGCTGTTAGATTAAGCTCTGAACTTTTGTATCTTAGAAATGATTAAAGATATCTTACTGGAATTCTTCGAGGTTTTTACAACACTATTGGGTTCTACTTTGAGCAATAAGAATGTATAATTACTCTACAAGCTTAACAGAGGAATCGCGATGAAATCGATTATAAACGAAAATGAAATGTTCATCCTTAATTAATCATAGCTAAGGACCGGAAGCTCATGAAGGACTGAAATAAAGTATATATATATATATATATATATATATATATATATACAGTGTAACCCGGATATAAGAGTTGTCGGGACCGGAGAAGTCTCTTATATCCGGGTTTCTCTCATATCCGGATTTGGTCTATTATATATACATTAACACGGACTCTAATTTGCGAACAGAGAAAATCTCTTTTTATCCGGGTTACACTATATATATATATATATATATATATATATGTGTGTGTGTGTGTGTGTGTGTGTGTGTGCGTGAAAAGTGTATATAAATATAAATAAATATATATATGTATAATTATTTATATATTATATGCGCGGTACTTATTAGAAAGCGCTCAATATCAGAGATAGAGCTAACATATTTGGTTGGATAGATGTGAGTTTGTGACCCTGGTTTTCACGCTTTAGCGATCGTCATGACCCTCTCCGGCAAAGTCATCTTTATCTGTATCCTTTCCTATATGAAATTCTCATGGATCATTTTCAGAGAGCGGGTCCCTCCTCTATTTGTGTCCCTGTATACAGGATGTGACACCCTTTTTAGGCATGAGTATCCTATTGTCACTTGTAGAAATGCGCAACAGAGAAAGCGCACTCCAGACAAACAATTAAAATAACACACAGAGGATATGATACCCGCTGAGTTTGCGTCAGGTTCTAAGTATCAAACCCGTCACAGCAGAAGTAATTAAACGTTAGGTACCAAAAAAAAAACTCATCGGTCCTTGTTCTCGGCTTCCTTCTTTTTAACTTTTTATCATTAGACCTTCACACAGGAAACAGCACAAGGGAACGTTTGAAAGAAAGACACACGTCCATTATCATATTGCTACGCCACAACATCACGTAGTTTTCAGAGTCTCGTGAACAAGGAGATTAGTTTGATTATGTAATGACAGAACACAATCAAAGATCAATGTCCGATTAAAAGAATGGTGCCAACTGGATTCTTCTTTAGGTTTGGTTTGCTTATCAACCTCAATGGGTTATTTAATGCCGACAAAATTTTCATTGTTGGTAATATTTTTTCCTTCAAAAATCTATTTCTGGTAATAATTTTTCTTCGCTGGTAATACTTCTTTTTCAAAAATGTATAACTGGTAATGTTTTTTTTTTTTTCAAAAATGTGTTTCTGGTAATATTTTTTTAACAAAGTATTTCTGGTATTAAAACCTATTTTCACACTTTCATAGTGTTTTACCCCAGTTTGGGGGTTAACTATTTTCCCATAACTGGGACCCTAACAGGTGCTACCACCAACGGGTCAGGGTGAACCTGGGAACACCAGCAATTAAGAGGTGGTTCCACGCTCCTTCCTGATCAGATGCCCGGCTGTCGGACGTAGTTTATCGTCTTACCCGGGATGCGGATGTAGTTTATCGTTCTTCTTTAGGGTATGTTTAGCAAAAGTAAGATAGATGAGTAAGTAAGTCGCAATAGGCATTTAGTCTTCTTCCAAAGAGTTTATTGCTGATTTAACACACGAACACACTGGCCATAATTCTTAAAAAAACTTGTGAGGCCGACAATGTTATTGCAACCAGAACTCGAGCCGAAACCAAAGTAATTTAGATGTGTGAAATAGTTTCCACCTTTTTTTCTTAAATAAATAACATTTTTTTAACTATGCATTCAGTTCCTAGTTTAAAAATAATCTTCAGCATCAACTAGACCAATGTGAGGAAGTCTGCGATCCATTTTTCAAGAAGTTGAACTCTATCTTCACAAGATCAACCCAGTTTTCAGTTTGTGCCTGATGATAGTTACGTGCATGAAAATCAGAACTGAACCAAAAGGTAACGAACTGCTTCGTACGCATTTTTATTTCAGATACTATTTTCCCTAGAATGCCCCTCAGATATTTCCTTCAGTAAGGCAAACTTTGCTTCCATATGACCCATATCACCATCTAACGTGAACTAAGATAATGAAATAAAAACTATGACTTTTGGAATGATCTTAGCGCATATATATATATATATATATATATATATATATATATATATATATATGATATATTTATGGGTAAAGTGGTCTATATCGGGGAGAGATCGTATGTAAATATAAAAGCGGACTTTTCTGTTCATGAAGCGTCTAAAAATTGTCTCGACGTTCTATATATCCGAGCACTTTCGGCTATTCCTTTAGCCATTATCAATAATAAAAAAAATAAAATAAAATAAAAATCATCTTTGATAATGATTAAAGGAATATCCATTACACCACCCGTACATCCAAGGTTACAGCACCTGGTATTAACAAGCGGTCATTCCTCTAGATACTGACCAGGTTAAACGTTGCTTAACTTCGGTGATCGTACGCGAACCGTTGTTTTATGTGAGTGTCATCCCAAACAAACACAAAAGAAAAATTTCCCCCTCCAACCACCACACACACACACATAATCAAACACAAATAAAGCATAAATAGATCCACTTTTGAAAAAATAAACAAGTTTGCCTGAAGATTGTGAAAGCGTGAAACGCAAGGTCACAATAAACTCTCCATGTAACCGCATTTGTTAGCTCTATCACAGGTATTGAGCACTTTTCACTAATACCGCATACATACATACATATATATATATATATATATATATATATATATATAAACCTAGTAGCCAGACAAACCTACCCTGACAGCTTTCCCTGACGATCCGCTTAGGTGAAACCTGTGTAGGTTTGTCTGGCTCACTAGGTTTATCTAGGTCTGCTCTACGGTTGTATTGAGCTCTTTTTAGTTAGTTGTTTGCTCGGGTCGGTTTTTTTTTTTTTGGGCTTTGAACCTGTATCAGTGCGATTTTTTTTCGACAGACTTTCAGGTTCCTGGCTCTTTCTTTTTTTTAAAACCTTTTTTTTCCTTCGAGATTGATTTGATTATTGGCAAATCAAAAATTCGAAGGTTTTTCGAAACGAGTATAGTTACCTATATATATATATATATATATAGAGACACCAAGTGGCTCAAAAGTAGAACCGATATTCTCTGAAGTCATGTCCCTCATGGAAGATCACGAGGGTGGCTACAGAAAAGATATCAACGTGCAAGTATCATAAGTGAGTTACAATGTTCAGGTAAAGCGATAGTTAGTGGCTCAGAGGGAAAAATCAGCAGGGCGAGTTCGAATTCCGGTCGAGTTTATTACTTTTATAATACACATGAACTACGGCAACTATAGCTTAAATAGCAGGGGAGGCTGTTTTCTGTAGCCTTGGTTGTCAACCAGTCTAAGATAAAAAAAATAACTCAGAATTCAAACCCCACTTACCTGAAACTGTACGAAAATGGTTAAACCTGAGAGACACTATGTCTGTAAAACAAAAATACAATCTTTACAATCGGACTGTTGTCCTCATCTTTGTTATTGTTATTACAACGTTTCGGCCGTTGTGCTCTCCAACATTCTTCACGTATCATGAAGGGTAAACTATAGGGAATTCCGAACTGAACTATTTATTTAATCTAGAGGGTAGACTGTTCTTGTTTACTGTTCATGTCTAGGGATATCTCGTCTAGTTATATTTTTAGTAGTGTTCAGTTATTGCTCGCTCTGTTTCCAGCGAGTCCAAGTACACACTGTCCGGCCCAGGGATTGAACTCACAATCTCTATATCACCGAATTTACGAACCAACGCTTTAATTCATTAGGTTATTGCATTCTCTGTAGTGAACGTTGAAAAAAATAAACACCATAGGTTTCACTAAGTATCGATAATCATACAGAGATCGATTATCCAGAATGTCGCTGAGATCAACGATTATCGAACCCGGCGAATATATCTGATCAATGGGAGGTGGATAGAAGATACCTCAGCCAAAGTTCCAACTGATTTTGTCTTCAGTTCTGGTCATTGTTTGCTCTGGCATCAAAGCACTTTTGATGCGTTTCTTATGTTCATTGAACGCCATATTCCAGATCAAATATTTCTTGGAATAGTCGCTTGTCACATTCATATTCTATAATTGCCGCAACTCTTGGAAGAGTTCTTTGTACTTTTGATATTTTCTTTTTAGACTTGGTTCTATTTTATTTGCCTTCCAATCCATGAGGACAAAAATACGTGGGGCGGGTGGCTTACGAACACATAATGTTGAAATACCAGTTCCCGTACAATCACCAACGTCGAGCCTGGTCAGTACCTAGGTGGGTGACCGCTTGGGAATACCTGATACTCTAAGGCTTATGGCCACATCACGTTGAAACACCGGTTTCCATAGGATCAGCGAAGTTAAGCAAGGTCAAGCCTGGTCAGTACCTAGATGGGTGACCGCTTGGGAATACCAGATACTCTAAGGCTTATGGCCACATCACGTTGAAACATTGGTTTCCATACGATCAACGAAGTTAAGCAACGTCGAGCCTGGTCAGTACCTAGATGGGTGACCGCTGTAAGCTTGGATGCTTGTTGGGGTGTAATGGAAAATGACACGGAATTGTTAATCGGAGAGCCAAGTTCCAATTCCAGTCGAATACGTTATGTTCAATTACGCACAAAAAGGTATGAATCCACATCTTCTCTCCCTGCTATGGGTTAATTAGTACGACTTCTATCATTAAAACCATTATTATCTTCAAAAATAAAAATAAAATTGCGTACAGATGTTATACCGGAACATACCTATTCTATTGTTAATAGACTCTCCCACACATAATAAGTAGTAGTAGTAGCAGTCGCCAGGGGGCTCAGAGTGGAGTTGAGTGAGTCAGTCGATGTCGGACATTAAGGTATCAATCACCACAGCTAGAATGCTGCGTCATTAACTATTATTTCAAGTTCCTAAAGTTTTGTACGTCGAACCTATTTAGGACCGACTTAGTGAAATACAAGCCTCCATTGTGAAAACTACTCTACAACAACAAAATATTTAGGTCTCGGCATTAAGTCCACCATAGATGTCGATATACTGCTAAACAAAAACAACCGACCAACAATCAATAAAATGGAGTACATTTTTTTTTATATTTAATATGGCATAATCCATATACCCATTAAGCAGAGAACAGAAGTTAGCACTTCGACGTGGTGTAATGGTTAACAAGCTTGTTTACTATGATCAATTACGACTGAGTTGTGTGTTCGATCCTCACTGGATGCTCCACACTTTCGGCTTTGTGTCACATCTAAAAAATACGTAGAAAATCATTTTGCCCCCCCCCCAAAAAAAAGGTTGGATTTTGCGAAATAAAGAGAAAACAAGTTTATCATTTATAATGGATTATACACTATGCACACACACACACACACACACACACACACACACACACACACACAAAACCGGTCCCTTAATCCTAACCCTTCTTAATACAGGTTGCCTCTAAAGTCTGAACACATCAGCAAAAATGCATATTTTCAAGAAATTAAATTTTCAACCTTTTATTAAATAGGGATATTAACAAATAACATGTTCAATATGATTTCCATGATTTGTGATGCAAAGGTTGAGGCGCTTTGCAATATTCACGTGAACTCAATGCAATAAATCCACATTGCCGTCAATTTTAGCACATTCACTCTTTATACGTTCAATCAAGTGTGTTGCATCTGTGATTTTCACTGAGTATATCTCCGTTTAGCATGCCCCAGAAAAAGAAGTCAATTCTTTCTTCTTTCAACGAAACCATGTTTAATCTGTGGCGGTAAAAAATATAGTTAATGAGATTTCCTATTTGCCAAGACTTTAGGGACACCCTGTATAATAGGAATATTCTGTTTGGGAGACAAATCCACAGACATGTTTCCAGATGATTATAGATTTTCAGCCTCGAAACTGGTTGTAGGCGCTCTGCGCGACGCAAAGTTTCAAATTTGTTATCGTCATTACAACCACACCTATATAGGAAAAAAAAAATTAACCATGTTTTTTAAAACTGTTATTTATTTGTTCACGCGACAGGTTTGGATGGGATGGTCTATGTCTCTCGAACTTTGAGAGATGTTGTTTACATTCTCATCAGTGGGCATCGCTATTGTGATTGATCATTATTATGATGAATCGCTCTGCTCTTTTGTAGGAACATCAATCAATAATGGTCAGAAGATCGAACTTGATCATTAATATGATGGTGACGATGAAAAACTGCGTCAGAGAATGTAAACAACAAACCTAGCTCGGTTTTACACAAAAATCTTCAACTTTTTATTCTTTTTGGGATATACCAAATATATGACGATGGTTTTAGTAGTACCTGTCGTAGATAGATATTTACCCAACAATTAAAAAAAATAATAATAAAGAATGGCTGGAGAGAAGTCGAAAGAACGTAAATGGTTTTAGTGTGTAGAAAGAGAACATGCTAAGAAAGTGTATAAATGTGTTACGTGCCTTCTCTCTGACCCTGAAAAGGAAAGCTAGAGAATATTATATCATTCTTTCCTTACTCATAAATCCAAGAAGAAGCTGTAGGAGGTCAGTTTTTCCCTACGCGTCTGCGGAGTATCTTCTGTTCACGGCGTAAAAAGCAAAACTGAATTCTGTACAGAGTATGTTCCACTGACTGGTCCATAATGGTCACATGATCAGCCGAACGCGGTACATACTAATTAAAGAGGAAGGAGGAGATTTAGCCAAACATAATATTCGCTTCTACTTCATGTATGTACACCGGTGTAATGGTTAGAAAGCTTGTCTCGCTAGAACAATTACGACTGAGTTGTGAGTTCGATCCTCACTGGGTGCTTCATACTTTCAGTCTTGTGCAACATCTAAGCTACGCGTGGAAAAGTTTTGAAATCCCAGTCGAGTGCCGCATTCCAAGGGTTACACTTTTGTTATTAGGGTGTATGAAAAGTATTTTCGTTTTCGCGACCTTCAAAAACGCCTATAAATATTTTAGATTTATGCAACACTTTACATATGGCATCTTTCCTTTATTAGTCAAAGTTTTTCTGTGTTGCGTTTTAAAACATCAAATTGATAACTGATGGCTTGCTACTCTTTAGCTTTATTTCAAACTAGCTTAAAAGCCGCCCTATCGGGCAGCATTTATACTAGCTCCTGCAGAGTGCTTTGACTGGGCCTTCATCAAAATAGATAGGGAGGAGTAGATGCGATTGGCGACAATAAACTACAGAGGAACTCAAAAGTGATCGCTGCATTTTAGTTTTGTATTAATATTTCAGCTTACCTTTTTAAAAATTTAACGATAATTCTTCTGCCGCCACTTAATTTAAAGGCAATTTGATGTACGTAGGTCCTTACTTTCCGTACAAACAATTATTTTTATTTCATAAGTGACTTTCGCTGGATTTCGTACAAAAAATTCGTCGCAAAAAATCACGTAAGAAAATCGCCGAAAACAATCACAGTAATGAAGACTTGAGAATCCCAAATTTCAGGATTGCGGGCCCGGATCGAGCCGGTAATGTTTTCAATTTTCTCACGGGGTCGGCCTGATTCCAAAATGGTATGATGAGTTAGGCTACAGCTTCTAAAGTTAAAAAAGGGTGACTCACTGAAATTCGCATTTATTATATAGATGGCATGTCACCCGACTTAAAATGCTTCAATCAGTTTTGGCCAATATGTTTAATTTCCATTCACATCTTGAATGCTGTAAGCTGCTTCAGCGGCTTTCATGCTGATTTTTACCCATTAATACCCATCGCCCCATTTTGGGGGATGGTTAACCTTAATGGGTTATAGATAGAAACCTTTAATTAATGATTTAAGAAACTGAAAATTAATGCTGGATTTTACTATGGACATGTATAATCTTCCTCTCCGCAACAACCTACCTTTTGTAGCTCTTAGTAAAGTTTGTCCTTTTACCATCCTTCCTACTCGTCCCTACTAGATTAAAATAATGCCTCAAAATTGCCAGGACACCAGTAATCGTATCTGCTGTTATAATAAATAAAATAAAAAGTGAGGATTATTATTATTATTATTATTATTATTATTATTTCTTCTTCTTCTTCCCTTGATTTCTGTTGTATACTTATTTCCTTCAGGATCCCAACCAGAGACCTAAGGTCAGAAATGACACCATATCATTTTCCACTGAACATTTTTGTAAAAAAAATTCAAATTCAACAACCTGAAATCACAAACATAGATAAAGCCTTTCTATACTTGTGAGGAAAATTCTTTGTATTTCTTTAAGGCATGGGCTGCCAGGGATCCCTTCACTGAGTTTATCGGAACCTTTTCCAGTCAATCCGAGGGCCCCAACTACAAGTGAAATTATTGATGTCTTCATGTGCCACATTTTTCAGATTTGCACTTCAAGTTCCTTGTATTTTGATAGTTAGTCCACTTGTTGTTGTTATTATTATTATTATTATTATTATCATCATCATCACCACAATAACAGCTTGATGCTACACTAGGCATTTCTTCTAGTTTTAATTCGGTGGACGTGGTTATAAACATATTTCATTGAATAATATAGACACATTATGTTTATTTACTTATATAATAATTCTTTCCAGTTCTCTAATCAGCTTCTTGGTGTTAAGATGAAATTCATCAAGAAAGATCATCCTCAGGGGGTGAAATACAAAGATAAACTTATTGTAACTGTGATAAAATTTGCATTTCCTTGTGATGATGATGATGATGATGATGATGATGATTAAAAAATACGCTGTTATAACCATTTTAAAATTTTAAGTTTATCCGTTGTAGTTATGGAATTTTTTGCAAAACAAGCGTCCCAATATATGGGAGTTGACCAGAAATTTGTAGAAATGCAAAATAGCATTAAATGTTTGTTATATGCACTTTAACACATTGCTGCTACACTCGTAATAAATTTTGTTGAGTGTCGGTTATTTGCTTTTGATATAAGGGGCCTCGAGAATTTGAAGGTTTGCTTTATTATTTTTGTTGTGTAGTATATTGGTGTTGTCAACAAGTATTTTCCTGTATTGTGAAGGTGGACTCCCTTCTGTGAGTCAATCAGAACATTTTCCAGTTAAGCCTATAGCTCCCACTACAGCTGTGATTATTGATGTCTTCATGCGCCACATTCTTGAAATTTTCACTTTAAGATCATTGTATTTTGAAGATTTTCAAAGACACATTACAGTCTGTAGGAACAGCCATGCCAATAAGTAAGTACATTCTGCTTTTATGGTTTCTGATCAATATGTCTGGGCGATGAGATTTTATTTATTTATTTATTTTTCTTTCCTTTGATTTTTGTTGTATGCTCATTTGCGTCCAATACCCACCCAGAGACCTAAGATCAGAAATGGCTTCATGACATTTTCCACTGAGCATTTTTTGAAAAGAAAAAAAATCTAAGATCACATACATTCTACATAGATAAAGCCTTTCGTAAG